ATACGATATAACCATTTATGCAAGGTTTCAAAATGCATTATAGTAATATTATATTAATATTAATATTATTAATATAAAACAAATTAATTTTTAAGATGACAAAAAATCATTGTGAAATCGAATTTTCTAATACCATTTTCTATATATTTTATTTAAATAAGTTAGATTTTATTTATTTGTATAATCTTCATCCAAAAAGAACAAGAAATACATATCACAACCGTACCCACTAATTTTGTCACAACCGTACCCAAAAAAAATGTCACAACTGTACCCAAATCACACTTTTAAAAACAAATCATCGTTATAATTGACCTAAACTTAGTTACTTAGTTTAACTTAAGTTTAAATTAAACTTAGTTTAACAATAGCTGGTAATTAACTGCTAATGTTCAAATTACATCAAAATAACAATAAAGCTATCTCTCTGTATACAAATAACAGTTTATTTCGAACAAGAAACAGCTTTTGACTCATTAGACGTAATGTGGTCTACAGGTAAACTTGTTCCAACATACATACTTCATTTTTTTCCCTTTGGACCCTATCTCAAAATCAGTATAGTTTAGCTGTTAACGACTATCACTAACGTACCACTACATATGATTTACATGAAATTGAAATTAATAAGACTTGCACTTATTATTACAGTTGGACTAATTTTTTTTTATTTTAAACTAGATTTTATGAACCATATGTGTTTCTTTCAGCCATAAATATACATTAATTATTACAAAAATATTAATATTAACACAATTTTTATTTAAATCTACACTGCAGCTATAAAAAATACTAATAGAATTATATTGAACTTTTTATAATTTTATTAGTGTTTTATTTCTAGTTATTCAGTCAATTTGCGAAAGATAAAATTAAACCGTGCATGCAAACTTTAGTTATTTGATTTAACATTATAGTATTTTATTTTATGCGGCAACCCTTATAACAGTATAATGTAATTGAAAATTCCGTCAGGGTTAATGGATTTATATATGCACTTCATACCCAAGAACTTTCATAAAACTGATTTTATAGGAAATTGAATTCTCAACTTGTTGAGTTTAAAGTTGGGCTTCTAGTTTTTCATTATATCATATATTTGAGAGATAACAGAATAGTTCGAAAAATATAAAAATTTGGAAATTAATTACAGTGTAAATTAAAATATAATTATATTTCTCACGTTAATGAAGATGGTTGAAAATTAAGCTTGGGATTTATAAATGTGTATCTTTTTCATAACCATCACCAGTCCTTTAATGTTATTTTGTTAATAGGTCTTTTTGGAAACTTTTTCATCATTTTCATCAAAACAATTTTTTTTTTATTCATTTAATTAGATAATTTTAAAATATAACAGGAAAGATCATAAGACTATTATCCTCAATGATATGCAAATATTTTTTTTGTATATTTTTGTGTCAATATCTTCTATTTTTGGTTTATATTTTTGCTACTTTTTTTCTCGGTAAAAAATCGACAAATGATAAATGGAAATGTTCGTGGTTGCATATTTAATGATAATCGAACACTCTATAGCAAAATAGAGCTCTATAACACTCTATAGCAAAAAAAGGTCATGAATCTCAAACTGGAATGAATAATAAATAAATCGAATTGTCACAAGTCGAACCTGTGAGAATGACATGATAAAGCTCTTCTTTCACTTGAAACCAAAATAAAAAAAAATGGATGAAGTTTCATCGCAAATATAAATGTTATAAACTTTTAGTAGGCCTTGGCAAAAATTTCTAGAATGATTTTGAAAACTCAAAAACAATTCAAAAATCTCAGTTGAAAATTGTGCTGATTAGTTTTTGGTAAAGATTAATCTGGCCGTTCCTTTGCAATTGACTTTTAACTTTATGTGAAACTTTGATTAAAATTTTAAAATATTATAGATTATCTATCAAAAAGCGATTTAGTTATAAAAAATTATCAAAGTTTGAAATAATATGCCGTGTCCAAAATTTAAAAAAACTTCGTCACAAAGTAGCAACTAATCTCAATTATTATTAAGTCGATTTTTTACACGTACTAGGAAATTCATACAACTTGCCTCAAGGTAAAATGCCACTTACACCTAGTCATTTATAGATTTGTCACACTGACACTAATAATATATTACGGAAATGAACGATTGGTTGAGCAGGAAACGTATTCGATTAATTCATCTAATTACAATTAATTAGTCTACAAGCAATTAAGTTTATATTCATTTGCGACAATTATTGATGATCGATTGAGCATTTCTGCTTCCTAAAAATAGTAATGCTAATAATATTTAAATACTAGTAATAACCAAGGTCTAAGCTCATTAAAATAAGTAGTGTAATTATGGTTATTACAAAAGGGAAATTGCACTAAATTTTTCAATGCACGCAACTTTTTGCTTTGACTGTGTATTTCACCTGCATTTTAAATTATATTTTAGCTGATGTATATTTATTGCTGTAATTAGTTTAAGTAGATTTTACGAAATGGGCCAATGCCAGGTGGAAAAAAATATAAAAGAAAATTGGTTGACATATCTAGAAGTAGTAATATAAGTATGTAATTAGATAAGGTATATAATAAATAATTGTTGGCAGTACTGCCTTAGGTAATGTCCGTGAGCTGAGTTAAACTCCAACTAGATTCAAGACAAAATAGTGTGAGGAATTTCCCATTTCACATTACCATTGACATCGCTGCTGCACGATTTCAGGATGCCAAGGCAAGGTTTGAACCCCGTCCACACGAGTCCGCAAGCTTAAAAATTACACCGTAGAACACCATAACGACTATATTCCAAAAAATATATGACTACATAATACATCTATATACATATATGTTTATACACATCCATGTACCACAAACTTTTTCCACAAAAAATCTCACGTCGTCGGATGTCCTTAGCGACTAATATAATTTCCTGATCCAGGCTAGACGAACCGCGTGTCCTCGTGCGATCACGTAGGCGGACAAAATGATATACATGTACAGCCCCTGTATTAATGCCGGTGCACATACTCGCCTCATATATTTTCATTAGAGGGCATATCCCAAAAGATTTAGAGTTATTTCCAGCGGAATAACCTACTCCCGTCGTCGTTAAGATAATAATAACATATATAAATATAATGGCCAGGGGTGGTCCGTTGTAAATATAAAATATCGTTCATATTAGCATCAATAACGTGTACAATTTTTGGCAGTAATGTATGCGGTTAGGCGGTATTTATGGCTTTTATATTTATGTAGGTACGGTCGGTCTGCTGTTTTAAAAACGGTTTCAGTATAAGGTAGGGAGAGGCTGAAGTTTTGTTTTCGAAATGTATTGGGATAAACCGACTTTTGATTCCAATACGTTTTGTTTGAATTTTGGTTTCATCACATGTTGCTTGATATATCTTTTATTAGTGATTATATTCTATTAACGGTAAAATTAATATAAATGTATTACTCTGATAATGTTTACATAACAGCTTTCTATTTATACAGTAATATAAGTATATTATTCCTTTAGGTAGGCAGTCGAAATAGAAGTGTTGTATAAAAACTTCTTTCTTTTATACTATGATGAAATACCCCCTCTTTCACTCCTAGGTAGATATCCTCACCAGGTCCATATTCGATATGATTTTATATTCCTACATATTCAATTATTGATAGATATTAAAACAGGTAATTATTTATTACATTATTTGCCATGTCAGTCAAATGTGTCTGATGCTCAGAAGTCCTATATAAGCCATTTGAGACTGAAGTCTCTAGAAGGAGAAAAAAGGTTATAGTATTAGGCTCTGTCAGTCATATGTATGTGTAGCTTGAATAATAGTGTTTTTAAAGATTTTTAATATTTTTTGGTACAAAAAGGATCCTTGATACGTTTTTAACTAAATTATCTAACTAGTGGTGTATAGCATTGTGCTTGCGGCAAATTTCTGGAAGTTCTCGTACCAAATTGAAATTTTGATAATTCGACTTATTTTCAATATGATTATTTTATTTTCCCAAAAACAATCGTTTCCTTAATACAAGCAGTGTTGATCATTCAAATCGGATGCTTATTTCTCTCAAAAATTGCCATTTTTTGAACATTTAGTCCAGTATCTCCGAAACGGCTAAACCTGCCTTTGCCAAAAACAGATTACCACATCTCCCCATCATTACGAATTGAATTTTATTTGAATCACTTAAATCGGATGCTCCGTTCTCTCAAAAACTCGATTCATATTTTCTGCACTCTTTGCTCCGTAACTCCGTAATGGCTGCACCTGCCTTTTCCAAAAACTAATCGGCCATCTCCCTATCAATAGGAATCGAATATTTTTTGAACCATTCAAATCAGTTGATCCGTACAGGAAACCGTGGACGAAATGAATGTTCAATTTCGATTTCTGGACAATTACAATAACTTATCCTACGGGAAGTTAATAAAGTTACCGCAATAAATAAATAACAGAAATTATAAGATTTTAATTATTATGCAGAAAAATTACTATATCCAAATATATATTGTTCTCCATTTGTTTGCAGCTTGATTCCCAATTTTGACTTTAGATTTGTGTTCAGCGGTTTTCAAACTACATTGGAAAATAAATATGGCAAACACAATATAGGCAACATTTTTCTTATATTTATGTAATATAATACAAATATTAAATGTCCGTTACAAAAAGCAAATGATTTGAAGAAGTTGATTTTTGCCGATTGTTTAATCAAGAGCACTCTAATTTGCAGAGCACTTTTACATAATGAAATATTATAACTCTGGAATATTCCCTGGGCATAAAAATAATATTTTTGGTAATAAATACAATTATGCTATAATTGTAAGTAACTGTACAGATAAATAATATTGGATAATTAGATATCGTTTTTATATAATCAATATATTAAAATTTGTTTTAATTTAATTTTGATGTGTGTTAGAAAGAGCCCTGCATATATATGATTATTTGCAAAAAGTTAAATCAGTTTATAAGTAAAGTATTTTGAATAGAACTATAACTCACCGACAACTTGAAGTTCTACTCTCCTATTTCTAGTTTGGCTAGTACGAAAATCAACTCTACATCGGTATTCACCAGCGTCAGATTCTCTTAAGTTATCCAATCTGAAAAAAATCCAAAATTTACATAAAACATATATAACATAATATAAAATATGCAAATATACAGTGAAATTGTAAAAATTGTATATGTTTCCAAAAATACCATTTCAAAATAAAAGACAACACCAAGCGAGTAATTTTTTTTAAGCAAAAGCAAACTGTTTCTTTCTATAATTTCGTCTAAAGTCGCACACATTTTTTTAGAAGACCTTATGATATTATATACGAATCGTTTTATATACCACAAGCAATGGGCAGATATCTCATACCATTACCATACCATGAAAGATCATTATACTACTGAAAGGCCTGGAAAATCTCTTTTCAGTTATGAAGAGAAGGTACATTATTATGAAACAACGACCGCAAAGTAATTGCAATGCACAAACTCATTTCCCTCTTAGTAAAGAAGACAATTTAAACAAGAACTATGATAAATTGTTTCAAAATTCCTCCATTAATAAAAAGAAAATAGTGATTTTACATCGGCGTGTACCGCTCATAGTTTAAGTATGAATTAATGGAAATTAGTTTGCGAATAGTTTGCGCCCGTGCAATAATTCATTTCCGATTTCCATTGCATATTTCCGTCCAACTTTTAATTGGATCTATTATTTATTTTAGTTTGCATTAATTTTTATGGGAGCGCTTCGAATGTTCCTAGAACAATTGTACGGCTATCTGAATTGTTTAGTTAATTTATTGTTTTATGGAGCTATCAAACGAATTAGTAGCGTAATATTTCTAATAATTAAAAGATATAAGTAAATTATAAAGCATAGTATTTATAATAGTTACAAAAGTATTGCAAGCTAATTAAAATATAAAGCATAATTCATTAAAAGTAGGTTAGAACGGGGCGTGAAGGGTCGCGGGTAAAAAGGTTCATCACCAATATCTCAAAAAGGTGTAAGTTCAGTATTTTTTTTTCTATAATATTTGAAAGTTGAGAGATAAAGATGTGTAATCAGCTATTGCCTCAAAGCAAGCAAATTCTATAACAGAAGTATTTTCTTTTGTTGTTAGTTTGTTTGGTTGTGAGCACTGTTGTTTAGTTTACAAGACCTTAATATAATTATTAAAAATACGTTATTTAATTGTTTTATAAAATGTATTGTTAATTTTAAGTTAAATCTAACAGATACTTTTATATAACGTCAATAATAACTTACTACGTGGGGTGGGGTAAGAAGGATCAACAGAACTTTTACCCTGGCAAAAACGTTAACAAACAAAAATAGTAAATAAAAATAGTATATTCAGTTAAAAAAAATAAATTAAATTAATGATTATTCCAACTTCCAACAGTGTGCTGATAAATATTTCTGACGAAATACTAGACCGAGGTTATATACAATAATATCTTTGTACAAAATTTTGTATTTTTTATTGGTTGAATATCGTAGTCCCTTTCATCTTTGCCTATGGAGTAAAAGAAAAAATAACAAATTTCTGAAAAATAGTAAAAAAGCGCATTCCTATAATAATATTTGATTGTTTAATACGTGTTATGTCTTATTATGTAACTCATTTAGTTTAGACAGAATAATCACTTAAATTCAAATTGAAACTTTGCGCCCCGCTCTATCCTACTACAATTCCACAAACAAAATATTTTGAAGATCTTGAGACATATAGAGGTTACTAAATTTTCATTATTGAAGTATTATGATTTTAGTAACTTAAGTAAAAGTAAATCAACTTACTTCAGAGCTGATGGTTCAGTGATTGTCCTAAAATAAGCTCTTCCTTGCAGTTCTGGAAGTCTCCAATGGGAACTGCGTTGTGTTGGGGAAACTGAAGAAAATTTTAAGCCATTTCCAGATGTTACAGCAGCTCGTCCATCATAACTGAAAACGAAAAAAAAAACAATCAATATATATGAAAAATTTACAATGTAATATATTACATCATATTATTTGTTAGAACAGCAATACATGAAAATTGTATGCATTTTCTAGCCAGTAGCATTACTATTTAAATTTTCAAAAACGTTGCTTTTTATATATTTATTTTTCTTGTTTTGATATCAAAAGATTCCGAACAGCTCAAAAATTCGACAAAATTTAAAATTAGTTACTCGTTTTCCAACAAAAGTATTAATTACTCCTCCCGGTGATTAAGAAATAGTTGAATACAACTTCGTTATTTTTATTAACAAAGTGCTTAATTCCATATAATATATCTAATTGTTATAAATATATTTTTTAATCAATAGGAATTATTATTATTATAACTTTCTAATTATTATTTCAAATAATATAAAATATTCTCCAACTAATATTATATATAACAAAACTTTCCAATCATTTATGAGTCGTCTGAACTTTTCTCACACTTTGTTTCAAATCTCTTGACAAATTATTATGAAAAGCAGCAGATGAAATTCGCAAAGGAATCAATTATTATTGAAATGAGAATAATATTTTCCTGAAATCGACCATTTGTCTGTCAAAGTTATATTTGTTCTCACCGAAGAAAAGTTTTATTAAAAACTGAACCTTCTTCAATCTATGCGGACGCATATTGATTCTTCTGCATTATTGCCTCATTGGTATCTATTAAATATATTATTATCCGAGGAATTCATTTTGAAAGAAATATCAAGAAAATTGTAGATGAAATAAAATTGTAATAAAGAGGAAGATATAATGATATATTTTCCTATTGGTAGGTGTAGCGTCTGCACAAAATTAGCTTTTATGATTCAATAAATTTTTCAAGAAATCAAATATTATTGATTTTAGATTATGTTGAAAATGCGCATACCAAAAAAAATTATTTCAATAAACCAGTACAAACACATAAGAAAAAAATTACATAGAGTTTAGTGAAGTTTTTTAGGTCCGCTGGTAAAAAGTTAATAGTTATTGCAACTCTGCTGAAAATTATTTCTGATGAAATACCAGATCAAGGTTATATACAGCGTTATCTTTGTAAAAAATGTGCCCATGAAATTTATATTTTGCATTGGTTGAATATTATAGTTATTATTTGCTTTAGAATCGAAAATAAGACATTTGATTTGTTTGCCCATTGGGGTAAAAAGTGACAATTAACCAATTTTAGAAAATAGTAAAAAAAACATTTTTTAAAAAAATAATTTTACTGGACTTAGTACGATAGTTGTTTGTTTGGTACGTGTTATATGTCAAGATGTAATTCATTTCTTTTAAAATTACTTAAAGACAATTGGACCTTTGTGACCCGCCCTATCTTAATTCAGAATATGTATTTAAAAGATTCATATTTTCACACTTTCTGATATATATGAAGCTTGACGAAAAGTATGTACTAACGTATACTAGAACTTTCAGCGTCAAAAATAATTTATTCTTAGAAAAAATGTTCCAATTCAAAATTTTCAATTATAGATAACATCAATTATATTATCTTCATAAATATTGCCTGATTTATATTGATATTCACAGTTTTTTCGTAAATATGGATAGACAACCCAATGGTTGGCATTTCATAATTGGGTTTTAACTTTTTGCAGCAATGCCCTGAAGAGATTTTTTCATTCGGAAACAGATATATATGAAGGATTCTCAAACTTTTCTAATTTCTGCAAAGTTCAACGTAAAACTAAAGACGTCCGTAATCTTGGAACCAAGATGATGGAAATTGGCAATATTGGTTTACTGGTTTTTGGTTTTCTGATCCGTTGCTATAATGGAACATTTGTTTGCTCTTTCGGTTTTCGGGAAAAATGCATAAATACTTCAATTTTCTTTGTCTTTTTTAACTTGTACTGAGAACTAGTGTAGTTTCTTTTGTGTTATTAATAAAGTTTTTATTTTTTACCAGAAACTAATCCAATAGATTAAATAATTAGATTATAAAATCTATTCCCATGTTAAGTGTTATTGAAATGACAAAACACATCACCATTACCAACAACAGCCCGGCTGCTCTTTACCAAAACAATTTCCAACTAATATTTTTCGAACAGTTTTAGTATTGTTGAAATCTGTTCATGATGTTTTGATGTTATTTGTGTCTTTTAATGTTATTCCGCTACTGCCACTTTGAATTTTTATAACGGTTTGCAATTATCAAAAATCCAGTTAATCTACAATAATTTCCTTCAACGGCAAATGTACCATCTCGTAAACCCATGTGTATTTTGCAATATGTATTATGCATACTATATATACTCCCGACTGTGCCGTAAACAAGCGTCGTACGATACTTTTTCACATAAATAAGCAATTTGAAGTAAGTTTAAAAGTACACTTGAGCACTCAATATCAAGACGACTAATTTTCTTTTATGGCTCGGTCCTAAAATTTAAAATTCAGACATAACCCTCAACACGTAAGACGACGGCGAAGTTTTAAGAGAAAGGTAGTTCATTTTGGAAGTTATAAAATCTGTTCTCTATCGTAATATATATCTTTCTATCCATCTTACTATGTATCTGTCAGAATAGTTATTGTAAATAACTATATTAATAATAGTGTTGAAAATATATAATATATAATAAATGTAGGTAGATACCACTAAATTGGGCTAGAAGAATGTAGCGAATGCAACTTGCATAATCTTTTTGATATGTATAAATAAAAGATTTAATCAATTATTGTATTTAATAACCAATAACCAATGATTATTTTTTATTACCAAACGCCTATTTCTGGAATTAGTTTCTCTGCATTTCAAAAACCGCCGGATCTGTCTTACCCCAAATCAATTGATCTGTTAAATGAAAAGGCAATTGAAATGAAAAATGTATTATGAAAAAACTAGTGGTAAAGATCGGCCGGGCCGTTTTCTTGTAATAAAGTTAAAAAAAAAAATTCGACGATTTTTATGATTTTTTTTTGACGGTAGATACCATAGTCTTATAGATCATACTAAAATATTACGGCCCTACGACAAGTCGTTTAATTTTGAAAAATCGTCAAAGTTTGCAAAAATTAGTATCGTTTCTTTGACATTTGACAAAATTAAACCTTTGATCGACGTTTTCTCAAAAACGCCTGAACCGATTTCATAAATTTAAAAGCCATTTGATGGATCTCAAGGAGGACTAGAATCTGTTTTGTGAGATGATCTGCCGAGCCGTTTCTTTGTCATTTGAAAAAAAGTGTTAAACTTTTCGTCCACATTTAAGCTCAAACTACCGAATCGATTTTAAAAAATCAAAAACTGTTCGAAAGATATTAGTTGGGAATGATACTGATTAGTTTTAGGTGAAAATATACCGAGCCGTTTTCTTGTAATTAACTGTTAAAAAAAATTTATGCCGATCTTCATGGAACTTTTTTGGCGATATATATCATGGTCTTATAGAACTTACTGAAATATCACGGCCTTACGACAAGTAGTTTAATTTTAAAAATTAATCAAAGATTAAGAAAATGAGTAGTTTTTTTTTGACGTTTGTTAAAATTAAAATTAGACGATTTACTTGGTATAACGATAGAGTACTTGATTTTAATGAACATAGTGAACCATTAAAGTCCTATGGAAACTGGTTCAATTATAAAAACTGGTGATTTTTGAAAATTTGCTATTAGAAAATACTCCGAGTCAAAGTGTTCGTTCGTTTTCAATCATGTGTAATAAATCCACTCGGAATACTTCTAATCACTCATCAATTAAATTATTTTTTATTGATTAAGTCGATTAATTACACATATTGGGAAGTTCATGTAACCCACCTCAAGGCTAAATACCAAACCAACTAGTTTTTTTTAATTTTGATGTTTTTTATATATATTTACACACATATTTGTGTGTATGTATGCAGAGAAAGAAAGAGCAAAGTTCACTAAGTTTTTTAATCATGGTCTTCTATGAATATATTTTCATACAGTTCTGAAAAACTCGAAACAAATTCTCAGCACATCAGAATCAAATTAATATCGAATATAATTAACTTCAATCGCTCTGTATTATACACATCATAAAAATTGTCGTTTTCGTATCAAAATCTATGGTGGTATCCTGTATCTATCGACTTGGTGGTTATTGGTGTGTGTCTCTGCATACGTTTCGATTACGCATAAAATTTAACAGCACAATTCCGGTGGCCGAGTCGCAGTACAAATGCAGCAAAACTATCCATTTATTTGCACAAACGCCGCCCAAGGGACAGATTTCATGTATTAATGGCGGTGCATATGCCACTAAAGCACATTCTGTTATATAAAAATATATGTGCATTGGTCCTGGCTCGCTCATATACGTGATATGGTGGACGCGACATGGCGAATCTGAGGTTATTGTTTATGTTGCAACATGCACCGGCGACGGTAAATATTTACTCGTCTGTATTATTTTGTTATTGGATAGGAATGTAATTATGATATACTGAACACAGGTTCAATGTGATAAGGAATCTAACCCTTATTAAGATTAAAAGACCAATTCTCACGCACAACAGACCAATGTTATGGCAAGGCTATGTTATGAAAAAATTCCATACAAAATCGCTCTGAATATGGACAAAAGAATGTGGTTGCTGTGCAGACAGACGTGTTTCCTAGGTTGTCAGCTGGAAAATCTAACCTAGAAACAGCACAAACATAAAAAAAACGATCTTAGATAACAGAGTCTCTCTGACCCAGCTTCATAACATACGAGTGACGTTGCAGTTTGCAATAAAACGGTTGCAGTAAAACACCTGAATTCACAGCAAATACATGATAATTTGATAGTATTCAGTATAATTAAGTCGTGTAATATAACTTGGCCACATCATTAGTCTATTATTTAAAAATAAACACATAAAAAAAATATCATCACCACTTGAACCTAGTTAATCTTCACAATCCTAACATCATGTATTATTTACGATTTAACAATTTTTTTCTCGCAATATATTAAAATACTGTACAAA